AGGCAGCTGGGGTGAGGTGGACAGTGTGGGGTGGGGGTAAGAGCGCAGAGTGACCGCTGAGGAGGTATGGCTGTGTGCATAGCAGCTCTTAGGCATCTGCAGGCAGCTTCAGATCCCCACCTGCATGAGGTCTCTTGAACAGAAGCACAAAAGAACCTAGATGGCAGGGAGGGAAGGAGAGGGGCAGGTGGGAACTTGTCACAGGTGCCTAACAACCATCCCTGGGGCTGGCACTACTGCCTTCAGTGCACCCAAGAAGCCTGCAGCTCTGTGAGGCCAAGTAACTGTGGGGAATCCCGTCACCATTTCTGTTGAATGCACGTGTCAATCTCCAACTGTAAAAATGGATTTTACTGGAACTTGGTGGCAAAGATAATGAAATACTGTGACATCCCATCAGGAAGGTGCAGGGTGTTTTCCAGAACACTCTCTTATACCCTCAGAAAAGCTCTGGGAGACAGGAGACAGATTCTCAGATTCCTATTTCATTGCTCCTCCCTCCTTCTGAATCTGTGCTCTGGGCCAAATGGGTTTCTGGCATCTGGACAGACATAGGGACTGAAAGGCCTGCCTCCTCTCTCAGTGTGCCAGTTCCTTCTTTGGGAGGATGATTTATCTCAAAATGAAGCAACCAGAGCGCCCATTGAGTGCAGTGAAGCACTCTGTACTCTCCCTAGATCCATCTCTCTCACCTTGAGGCTTCTACCTGAGCCCAGCTTCCTGATGTTTTGCCATACTGAAGTCCTGGCCTCTGGCCCAATCTGCTCTGGAGCCCGGGCTGCCCTCTGACTCCTCTACCTGGGTTCAAGGAGATCTTCAGCACTCTCTTGAATTGTTCTATTTATCCTCCTGTCCTGTGTTGTATAGGGTGGGTGCCCTCAGCTGCATGAGGGGTCAGTCCATCTTTAATGAGTTCTAAATATCATGAAGTGCTGAGTAAATTCTAATGACACAATTGTTGAGAAGAATCTGATCGAGAAACCCTGGTTGTCTCTTCCGACATCTTTATTTTGTTCCAAGAACATTAATTTAAAAAGCTCTCTGGCCTATTGCCATGTTAACTTCCCCTATGAAAGAACATAATTGGCTCAGGGTAAGGAAGGAAGAACTATTTAAATAAAACAGGGAGATTTTTCTTAATGGGTTAAAAAAAAAAAAAAACCTGGATATTTTCAAATACCACTTTGAAAAAGTAAGGACAAGTGAATTATGTTATGCACTGATCTGGTCCAGGGCTGAATCTACTGTTTTGTGAGTCTTGCCTTCTGTTTTCTCTGAAATAGATTCAATAGTATTTAAGATTCAATAATTTTCTATCTCTAAGAAACTCGACTTATCAGATAGCATGCTAAATCCTCCCATATTCTGCAAAAGAAATAAGATTCTAGTCACATCAAATGAGTATGAAGTATTTGACCCTTCAAGAGGAAGGTTGATGCTTACAGGATGCACACATATACAATAGGGAGGTGATCATGGTGTGAGGGGTGGGGATCAGGGTGCACAATCAGAGGCGCCCGTTCCTTTCCCAGTAGACCGAGACATCTCCCCACTGAGCCACCTATTCTCATAAGTATGGCCAACCTTAAGTTCCCAACTAGTTGTAGGTCATATCAGAGTGATGATATTTTTACAGAAATTTGTCCCTGAGCCCGAAACTCCATGGTCACATCATGAGCAGTGCCCAGAAACCCCCATGGAGGAAAATTCAGCAGGAAATGGGGCAACTGGCCTTTCAACCATGACACTGCCTGGGCTCTGCTGGAAAAAGATAAAAGTCCCTAATCCCTAGCGCTAAGCTCAAGGTGACAGGCAGGTGACCAGTTGAGCAGGCCTTCCTTCTAAGATAGGATCAAGATGAGAAACAATGAATGTGACATGGGGGTGGGGGGTAGCTGCTTCTCCTCCCCAGCTATCAGAGCCTGCCCTGCAGCATCCAACTTGGGAGAACCCCTCAAATGTCCTTGAGCTACACCATATTTTAGTCAAGGCCAACATCTAGGGAGCCTAAGAGGACAATTAGCCCTGGGACAAAACAATGCTCCAATATGCTGAAAAGGGAAACCAAAATATGAAAACATAAAAAAGAGCTCTGGGAACTTTCTCCCTGGGTCAGGGTCACCAGCCAACTGGAGAACCTTGGTTAGAATCAAAGAATATATGAGATGAAGGAGATGGACCATTCTGCACGTTAGAAATCATCTATGCCATTTGAAATATTTTGCTTAATAAAGACGCTGACTGGCACTTGCTAGAAAAGCAGCAAAGTGAGCCACGAGGATCTATAATCTGATTAAGACGCCCTTGACATGTCTCATGTGATGACATGCCACGCATGTGTTAGCTGGCTGTTTGAAGTGTATAGGCCTCATCCCCAGCATTACACACAAAAGCAGACATTTAATTATCTCTGAGGATCCTCAAGTGGCTTGCAGGTCATAAATTTCCAGGTTATGGGATGGGTTCTGTTTGATTTTGTGCACTAGGTGGACTATAATTGTCTTTAGCCAAATGAGTTATAGCCCAAACATGTCGGTTATTCATTATTCCCTTGCCCCAGCACCACCATTAAACAATCAAACACAGCATTGCTCCACAGTGAGGCCCAAACCACTAAATTTCACATAGATTGTGCAAATTGCTTTTTTCTTACTCCTTTAACCCTTTGTGAAAAGCTGAGGCTCACCATTCCTTTCTAACAAAAATCAAAGCCTAACATTCCTCGTCTGTTGACAGTGCCATTGTTAATACATGAAACCCGTTACAGATAAACATTTAAATGTATATGGTACTGTATTTGTTATAGTAACTTTGTTGTGGGGAAAAAATGTGCTTGGCTAAATAAAAAGAATATATGGGATAAAATTGGAATGAAAATGATACCACAGGAAATTATTCTATATCAACCACAAAACAGGCTCTTTCAGGACTGAAGAGGAAAATTATTTATGACTGTGTTACTGTGCTCAGTGATATTATAAATCTATGAATCCTACTCTTTCTAGATCACTGAGAGGGCCAATGCAGTCATGGAACTTATAGGAAGTACCCAATCCTTTGGCTTCCAAGGACTGGCCACGTCGATGTATCATGCATTAACCTTTTGATTTGCGGTTCCTGGCTCACCTCTGTCACACATTCCCTGCCCTGGTATTCTTTCTCTACTCTTCTCCCCAAGTCCACCTCCCACAGGCTTTTCCCAGAAACACACCAGAGTCATTATTGCACTGAGATTTCTCATATCTGTTAAGACCAGGAGTTAACAGATACAAGGCTTCTACCATTTGGTTACCGGTCTATCAAATTAACAGGAAAGCAATAAAAAAAAAAAAAGCTACTATTGTAGATAATCCACTTAAGACCCCAAAAAGCCTTTTGCAAGCTTCATTTAAAAAGCTACCTAAGATTTTTTATTAAAAAGCAAGAGAAAATGGACAAATATGATAGACAAGTCATATACTGCAAGAGGCTCAATCTTCCTCATGTGCATGAAATGTAAATTAAAACCTGTACTATTTGATACTATTCTGATAGGCAAAAATGGAAGTCCCACATTGGCCTGGAGCAACTTTGCGATTTGGTATGCAGCATTCAGCTAGTAGTGGATTAGCCTTGCCCCTTTGGAGAAGATTTGTCACCTGAGGATGCCCCTACTTTCCCAAGGGACAGGACCCTCAGCCCCTACCCCTGGGGTTCTGAAGCTGTTGGTCCGAGTAAGCCAAAATATCTGGAATTTAAAAATCTCTGCAGAATATTCTGAGGGGCATCCAAAGTTGGTAATCACAGCTCAAGAGCCTCATCACTCAAATGAGTACCAAGGGTTAGCAGCATCAACTTCACCTAGGAACTTGTTAGCAACAGACTTGTGGCCCACCCATCTTACTGAATGAGAATCACATCCTCAGCCCCAACTGTTTTTTATTTCTTAGGAAAAATTACCATTAGAAACTGAACAGATTATATCAAGGGAGCAAGGTCCCACAGGCTGCAGGAACCTGCTTTAGCATCTTTTACACCCTGGAAGCAAACGTGGCAAGGAGTCAAGCAGAAGCATGACCCTGCATCCAGTCACCTTCTGTGTGAATCTCATGGGTGGCACAGGCTGGGTGCACCATGTGTTTGAGTTTTTAGTGAACTACCCACCTTCCTAGGGTTTCTTTCACTTTGGGGTACAGAACAATGGAGCAACCAGGCTCTGTTTCCTCCCGGCCATTCCTCAATCTCAGAGGCAAAGTGGTAGAGGCTGGGACTGAGTGACACAGCGAAGGGCTGAAGCCCAGGAGCTCCCCTGAAACATCTGGGCCATAGCTAATGCAAGGAAACATCAAAGGACCCACAGGGATCCCATTTCTCTACCGAGTGGTCTATGTGAGACTTGGCACAGAGCCACAGCCAACAGAGGCTCCTCACCCATCAGCTCCAGGAGCAGGCAGCAGGCTCAGACCAAAGGGGAAAATCAGTTTCTTTGATGTCCTAAATCCTGTTTGGTGGGGAAAGGGAAAAAAACTGATCTGCCTAGGCTAACATTATATATTGTAAGCATCCTAATGACCATCAAATCACTTGCTACCCTGATTTTCACCTTTGACATGCAGGTGGGCTGTGGCAAACCCCTGAGGGAACAAGCTTCTAACCCAGCAGGAAAGTGGTCCTGGGTCCCTCTGGCAAAGAAGGCACTCACCCCAATACATGAGAAACATTTAAAGACCTTGCAGACCTTCCTGGACAAAGTATGACTTGTGGGAGGCCTGGCCACAAACAGCAAGCAAACTGGTCAGGTGCAGCAGAGCCCCCTCCTCTATAGAGACCAACACTGGTAGTGAACTTGAAACCTTTCAGTGGGTTTTTGTTGTTGTTGTTGAGAGCTACAGGTGGGCACTGAGACAGCTACTGAGGATTCATGGAAGCTGCCTCTGGATCTCTGCCCTTCAGGGTTATACAGCATATAAAGGAAGATCCTTCCAGGGTTGAGACCCTCACCCCTCCTCAAATGCACTCACGAGATTTGCGGTTGGCCCGAGATCGCTTCCTCTCCCTTGGCACCACTCGCTGACTGGGCACTTGGGTGGCCGACTTGACAATGCGGTCCATGATCTCATCTGCAGCATCGTCTGTGATGGTATGTGAGTCTTCAGTTCCCATAGCCCATGAATTAGTGGATCCTGAAAAATTAACCAGAGTGCAATATATTCAAAGAGAAAGAAAACACAAAAGACAAATCATTTGCTTCTTTGAGTTCCTGACATCAACGATGGATCTCAGCAAAGCCAGAGTCAGAGCCTCAGAGTGACATATTCAGGGTGCTTAGCTGGACCCACTTGTGACTAATACCCTCCAGGCTCTGCCCAAACTTGTGCTAGGGCATTTATTTCATATTCTTTTCATACCCCGTAATGACTATGTTCTTGTCTTTGTTAAGTATCTCTACCCCTGCCAAGCCCTGTGATCGCCTAAGGGCAGATGATCCATGCTGTACCCAACTATGTACATCACTGATACCCAGCAATGTACAGAGAGGCCCACCAAGAGATTTACTAAGTTACCTTTCTATGAGTGGTTGTATACCTAGTAAATGTGAACTAACCCTACCTTCTCATATATTAAGTAGAAAACAAGGAATTTTTAATACACAGTTTGTCTTTTAATTACTTAGCTTTTCAAAATTGTAATAGGATTGCCCTCTTCAATCAGTAATGTGGATAGTGACTTAATCTTTTCCTTTGGAGAATGAAAAATCACCTGCTCCTTGACCAGAAAGATGTATTTATGAGTAACTATATATTCAAACAGGCCAAGTCTAGTGTCAAGGTATCTGCCTAAGCAAGCAAAAAGCACCACCTAAACATGGGTTCCCAAGTAATGGCAAATAATTGGAAATCAATGCAAATTTATATGTCCAGAACTTTGCCTTTGTGATAATTTCCTTATGAAATCTCTTCTATGATGGTGAATGTTTCTACAGGAGGAAAAATATACAACATGTTCAAAATCATTTATTTCTACTATCTACACTTTATCTTGTAATAAAATAATTTACAATGTACAATTTCAAAAGTCTGTAGTTAGAGTTCTCAAACTCATTGCCTATGGAACACAGGTAATCCCAGGCTGAAGCCAAAGAACAGTCAGCTTTTTCCAATGGGAGGGGGAGGGGGCGGGGGGAAGAGGAGAGGGGGTTGGTAAATGTTTAAAATGGTAAAATTAGAAACAGTTGATCTCCTGGTAGGGGGGGTGAGGCACAGACACCCGAGTCTCCTCAATTTGTCGTCGAGCCAGAGGGGAGGAGCCGGGCCACCGCGAGCGCCCAGAGCAGGCCCAGCGGCTCGCCAGCATGGTGACCCCAATTGGAGAGGGGGCGGAGCGGAGCCGCCACCCGCACCCGCAAGGTGGGCAGACCCGCGACCCAGTGGTACATGGGCGTGGTAGGAGGGGCAGGGCAGAGCCGCTGTTGGTGCTTGCAAGGTAAACAGACCTGTGACAGCCTGGCGGGTCAGGCCCAGTGGCCTGCCAGTGTGGTACACACGTCACCCCAACTGGAGTAGGGGCAGAGCAGATCCTTCTCCCACACCCGGATCAGGCCCTGCCGGTGTGGTGGCCACGTGACCCCAATTGGAGTGGGGGCGGAGCAGAACCGCCACCCGTGCCCACAGGGTGAACAGACCTGTGACCAACCTGCAGATCAGGCCCAGGGGTCCGCAGGCATGGTAGGAGGGGCAGGGCAGATCCGCCGCCGGCGCCTCCAAGGTAGGCAGACCTGCATCAGACCGGTGGATCAGGCCCAGGAGCCTGCCGGCATGGTACACACACCACCCTAATTGGAGTAGGGGCAGAGCAGAGTCGCCGCCCGTGCCAGGAACAGGCCCAGCGTCCTGCAGGTGGGGTAGTCACGACACCCCAATTGGAGTAGGGGCAGAGCAGAGCCTCCACCCGTGCCCGAAAGGTGGGCAGATCTGCGACCAACCAGCGGGACAGGCCCAGTGGCCTGCCAGTACGACAGACACGTCACCCCATTTGGAGTAGGGGCAGAACAGAGCCGCCGCCAGAGCCCAGAACAGGCCCAGGGACCTGCCGGCGTGGTAGCCATGACACTCCAATTGGAATAAGGAGAGAGCAGAGCCGCCGCCCGCACCTGCAAGAAAGATACGCAAGCAGTATGAAAAGACAAGGAAAGAAAGGACCACAAGCAATGCAGGTCAACGCAACTTTAGAAGAGGTAACAGCTGCAGCAGATGGAATGTCAGATAAAGAATTCAGGATATACATGCTTCAGACGATCTGGAGTATCAAGGAAGACATTAAACAGCAAAATCAGACAATGAAAGATCACTTCGACAATGAATTACGCAAACAAATCCAGGAAGCAAAGGATCAACTATACAGGGAGATAGAGGTTATAAAAAACAAACAAACAGAAATCCTAGAAATGCAGGAAGCAATAAACCAACTTAAAAACTCAATGGAGAATACTACCAGCAGAGTAGAACACTTAGAAGATAGAACATCAGACAATGAAGACAAAGTATTTCAACTGGAAAAGAACATAGACAGCTCAGCAAGACTGTTAAGAAACCATGAGCAGAACATCCAAGAACTATGGGATAACATTAAGAGACCAAACTTAAGAGTCATTGGGATACAGAAAGGTACAGAGCTCCAAACCAAAGGAATGAGCAGTCTATTCAATGAAATAATATGAAAAACTTCCCAGACTTGAAGAATGAGACAGAATCCCAAATCCTAGAAGCCTACAGGATGCCGAATGTGCAAAATCATAAGAGATCCACACCTAGACACATTATCATGAAGATGCCCAACATACAGAATAAGGAGAGAATTTTAAAAGCTACAAGAGAAAGGAAGCAGATTACATTTAGGGGTAAGCCAATCAGGATAACAGCTGATCTTTCAACACAGACTCTGAAAGCTAGAAGATCCTGGAATAACATATTTCAAACACTGAGAGAAAATGGGTTCCAACCAAGAATTGTGTATCCAGCGAAATTAAGTTTCAGGATGGAAGATGAAATTAAAACCTTCCACGATAAACAAAAGTTTAAAGAATTCGCAGCTAGAAAACCATCTCTTGAAAACATCCTCGCCAAAACATTACAGGAAGAGGAAATGGAAAATAACAATGAGAACCAACAGTGGGAGGTAGGACAGTAAAGGGGGGGAAATAATCAAAGAGGAAAACAAACCATGTTTAGTAACAGAAATAAACAAATATGGCTGGAAGAACAACCCATATCTCAATAATAACCCTAAATGTTAATGGCTTAAACTCACCAATTAAGAGACACAGGCTAGTAGAATGGATGACAAAACAAGACCCAAAAATATGCTGCCTACAGGAGACGCATTTGATAGGAAAAGACATACATAGGCTGAAGGTGAAAGGTTGGGAAAAATCATATCATTGATATGGACTTCGGAAACAAGCAGGAGTGTCCATACTCATATCAAATAGATTTCAAGCCAAAGTTAATCAAAAGGGATAAAGAGGGACACTACATACTGCTTAAGGGAACCATACACCAACAAGACATAACAATCATAAATATTTATGCCCCAAACAATGGTGCAGCTATGTTCGTCAAACAAACTCTTCTCAAGTTCAAGAGTCTAATAGACCACCATACCATAATCATGGGAGACTTCGACACACCTCTCTCGCTACTGGACAGATCTTCCAAACAAAAGTTGAATAAGGAAACTATAGAACTCAATAACACAATTAATAACCTAGACCTAATTGACATATATAGAGTATACCACCCAACATCAAGCAGTTACACTTTTTTCTCAGCAGCACATGGATCCTTCTCAAAAACAGATCATATATTATGTCACAGGGCAACTCTTAGACAATATAAAGGAGTAGAGATAATACCATGCATCTTATCTGATCATAATGGAATGAAACTGAAAATCAACGATAAAAGGAGGAAGGAAAAAGCATACATCACTTGGAGAATGAACAATAGGTTACTGAATGATCAATGGGTTATAGAAGATATCAAGGAGGAAATTAAAAAATTCTTAGAGATAAATGAAAACACAGACACAACATATCGGAATCTATGGGACACATTGAAAGCAGTTCTAAGAGGAAAATTCATTGCTTGGAGTTCATTCCTTAAAAAAAGAAAAAACCAACAAATAAATGATCTCATACTTCATCTCAAAATCCTAGAAAAAGAAGAGCAAAACAACAGCAAAAGAAGTAGAAGGCAAGAAATAATTAAAATCAGAGCTGAAATTAATGAAATCGAAACAAAAGAAACAATTGAAAAAATTGACAAAACTAAAAGTTGGTTCTTTGAAAAAATAAACAAAATCGACAGACCCTTAGCCATGCTAGCGAAGAGAAGAAGAGAGAGAACTCAAATTACTAGCATACGGGATGAAAAAGGCAATATCACAACAGACACTTCAGAAATACAGAAGATAATCAAAAATTATTTTGAATCCTTATACTCCAATAAATTAGAAGATAGTGAAGGCATAGATAAATTTCTTAAGTCATATGATCTGCCCAGATTGAGTCAGGAGGATATAGACAACCTAAACAGACCAATATCAATTGAGGAAATAGAAGAAACCATCAAAAGACTACCAACTAAGGAAAGCCCAGGACCGGATGGGTATACAGCAGAGTTTTACAAAACCTTTAAAGAGGAACTAATACCAATACTTTTCAAGCTACTTCAGGAAATAGAAAAAGAGGGAGAACTTCCAAATTCATTCTATGAGGCCAACATCACCCTGATACCTAAACCAGACAAAGACACTTCAAAGAAAGAAAAGTACAGACCAATATCTCTAATGAACCTAGATGCAAAAATCCTCAACAAAATTCTGGCGAATTGGATACAAAAACATATCAAAAAAATTGTACACCATGATCAAGTAGGATTCATCCCTGGGATGCAAGGCTGGTTCAATATACGGAAATCAATAAATGTTATTCACCACATCAATAGACTTAAAAATAAGAACCATATGATCATCTCGATAGATGCGGAAAAAGTATTCGACAAAGTACAGCATCCCTTTATGTTCAAAACTCTAGAAAAACTAGGGATAACAGGAACATACCTCAATATTGTAAAAGCAATCTATGCTAAGCCTCAGGCTAGCATCATTCTGAATGGAGAAAAAC